CATAGTTGACTTTTGTTTAGTTAGAAATTGGGTTCATGATTGTTTTAATTTGATTTTTATGGGGTTATCCCATTATCATGAACTGAGTTATAGTTAGACATGTTAATTTAGGTTAACTCGAGTTGTTTTTTTATTTTTTTTAATTTAATATTTATTTTCAATTTCATTCTTCAGCATTGAATTGATCATGAATCAATCTTTATAATTTATCTTGATTTGCATTTTATAAGGCAATCATAGTCTTATGTTGTGTCACACTTCTCAAAGTCATCTAACTCGACATATCTCCTAGCATGGTATTCAACAACTAATTTTGAAAGTTTTTATAGTTTTCAAAGGATCTTTAATGGACAATAATATAATTTTTAAGTGTGACAAAGATTCCTTTAATGTTCTAAAATTATTTTCTTATAAGGATTTCTTGTTTATTATATCTACACAAGAAAATGAGAGCTGGTGGTAATTAATGGCATGCTAGTTTAATATTTTTCATATTCTACAAGGAAACTAAGGGGCAACAACTATTACAAAGATTTTCATGCTAATATAGGAGAGTTAAAGTTGATATTAAGCTAATTTTTTTCTATTATACAGTTTTATGCTAATAAGAATATTTTTTATCCAATCATTAAATCGGGTTAAAATTTTGTCAAAAATTTTAAGAGGTCTTGTTTTATATTGAGTTTAAATTTCAAATCAATTGTAATTGTGTAAATCTTTATAACAAGATTTAGAAGCTATTGTACAGGAATTGCATTATTTTCCTACTTGATTTACAATCTTTTTTTTTTCTTTTTGGACTATTAATCTTTTATTATTTTTTCAGAATTTTCTAGGATTTTTTTGTTACTTATTATATATATGGTTATTTAGCTTGTATTTAGGTTTGCTTTTCAACCATGGATTATTGAATAAAATTGGTATTTTCTTTAAAGTAACATGCTTTTTTTTCTTGTTTAAACAAAGAACAATCAAACTTATTAAAGTATAACGAACTTTGATTTTAGAATAAATTGCTTTTGTGTGTGTGAAAGAGAGAGAATACCCATATTATTTGGTTTTCTAAAGAATTAAATTTGACTTATTGAAGAACAACTATTTTTATTGCAATCTTCCTTATATTTTCCATTCACGATTCACTAATTGTTGAGTTGGGGGGGGGGGGGGGGCATATTCAATTAGGTGTTGGTGTCTCATTTCAAGGTAAATATTGTTGTGTCACACTTGAGATTGTGTCAATCTTACTTGTGAATTTTTGGATCTTTATATTTATGGGGCTCACATCACTTTTTTTATTTTATTTGTTTAATCCCTTTTCATTAATTATTTCTATTGAATTAACTTTTTTATAAATAAATGATTGGTTTATATATATATATATAGTTGTATGATATTTCTAAGAGATTAGTTTGATTTCTTTTAAATTGTTTCTCTTATATTTTATAAGAATTTGCTGTATTTGTATAATGGTTTTATAAAGAAAAAATATATATATTTGTTATTAGCAACAACAATTACTGCTAAGATAAAATGAGAAAACTTTTAAGATAAAAATGATAGTTGGTGTAAAACATTTGCATATATATTAATCTTTTATTTCTACAATGAAGATTAGCTTTTTATTTTAATATTTAAATGTCATTTTTTTCTTATTATAAAAAAAAAGTATGTTAATAATTAGACTTCATAATTTGTTTCAGTTTGTTTTTTGTAAGGATACTATGATCTCAAATGAAAGTCCTGACATTAGGTTGTTGCTTAATTTCTTGAGTATCTATTATTTATCATATAATTAAATAAAAAGTTATTTGATAAGAAAAAATTATTAAATCTAATGGAGTTCATTACCCATGTTACGAGTTGAGAGAGTTAACCCAAGTCGATCCAACATATCGCCGACTACTGTTAAGAAAAAAAAAAAGATATCATTTTTAAATTTTAAAAAAATTCAAACCATATTTTTATCGATCATTTCGGTCATTTATGAATCCTTCAAGTTAATTTTGGATCATATCAAGACAACTCTCAAACGAGTTTAATGATATTATCATAGAATTTCCTGCTTCTTGAACATTTTTTTTCACAAGCAAGTAACCAAGTTAGGAATTAAGATGGATCCTTGAACCGAGTTTAATAATATTATCATAGAATTTCCTGCTTCTTGAACATTTTTTTTCACGTTCAATTTTTTTGGTGTCCAACTCATAGTGTAGTGTGTGCTTGTTATCTGGTTGTTCCATAAACATTTAGGAATTAGTGCTGATTTATAAAGGCGTAATTGAATAATCATATAACTACAGGGATTAAATCAACTTTGGGGAAGTCAATCTCTGCCCGTGTTGGTTTATAATCTTTAGATTGCTAGAACTTGCCTATTATATTACTAAAACCTTGTTGTGAAATCTTCTTGTCACCATGAAGTGAACGCGAGATAAGGATAATTAATATATCCTAAGCTCGTGAGTCTCAGGATCATATATAGTTCTTCACGGACGGACTAACCAGTATTAAATCTGTCAAGGTTGCTTAGATGAAATTTATCAGAAAAAAGAAGAAGAAGGTAAGCCAATTAGATAAAGGAAACATGACTATGGACCCAGCAGATTCCATGTGAGATGAAGTAAGACGATGATCATAAGATTAAAAAAGAAATAAATATATAATTATGTTTGGTAAGGATTGATAAGATAAAATAATTATTTTTATTTAATGTCTAGATAAATAAAACAAAAAAAAAATTCATAGTTTTGAATCCCGCCACCTAAGTTTCCTGGCCGAAAAACAAAAAAGGTCAGATTAAAGCGATTTTAAAGGATCATGTCGACACTGTAGCAGCAGATTTGTTTTACGAGAAGAAAGTGTGAGGAGGAGAACATCCTCATAATATGGATATAGGTAGCTCCAAGTATTCAAAGGATGCCAATGGCGGCATTTGACGAGATACTAATCAGAAATCTCTTCCATATATGAACTATTAAATTATCAATGAAATGGAACACAAGTCAAAGATCGTTTTCTGTCCTGCAAGGTTGTCGTATCTTTACATGCTTGCATGTTGTTTGACGGATCAATTGTTTTAAATTGTCTCTGTATTTTTTTTTTAATTACTTTTTTATTTGTTTTAAATTATGCAAAATTTTAAACACACATGCTAAATTGTTGAAGTATCACCTGCCCTAATGCATTTAATAATTTTAATGTTTGAAATTTATATAGGTATTTATACAAGTAATTTATTGGTATGTATATTACCAATATAATTATGGATAGAAAGAGTCTATCTAAAAAACTCATAACTCTTAGAGTGAATTTTTATATATTCATTAATGATTATATATTATTTATATCAAATCTACATAAAATAATAATAATAACATGTATTAATTAACTACGATAACTAAATGGTTTGCATAAATATTGATTTAGGTCAAATTTATTCAATTTATTTTAATAGTATTTTTAATTCATTATCAATTATCTATATATATTCAAATTTTTATATATTTACTGAAAGTTTTAACTCTGCAATAAAATTGACAACATATAAAACATATCTGTAAAATAAGTTATTATTTATTTTTTCACAAAACACTTAGATCAGAAATTCGACATTGCCAAATTTCTAGTAATGTTTATTTGGTTGTTTATTTATTTTATTGTTTTTTCTCATTCAATTTTGTAGTATGAATTTATTATTTGTAAATGTTATGATTTGTTTTAGATCTTATCAAATTGCATTTCTCATACTAAATTGTTAAAGTATCACATATGGATAATTTATTGTTATTAAAAAAAGTCTTAAAACATACCTATGACAGATTCTCGAGCAGTTGATAATGTATTTTATAAGGATTATTGTTTGGTTACTAAATCTTTTGTTATATATCTGATATAGTATATATATAGGGATTTAATTATGACAAACTTAATGTAATTTAATGGTTTAGTTCCAATCAGTTTGTTGTTCAACCAATTGCTCAATGACTTGTGATGGGTAACTCGTGCTTGTGATAGGTGACTTGTGCTAGATTGTGGGTTGCCTATGGTTGAGACACTAAAATTCAACCTCATATTTCAGGCTGTAGTCATAGAGATACCATAAACCCAGTTCCTATTACAGTTCCTATTAGGCTTATCAATTACTTCAGCCTCCAACCACAACTTTAGGGCCATGTTTGTTCTGAGGAAAACCAATTCCGGGAATTCATTTTCCTCAGTTTCCCATGTTTGGCATCAATATAGAAAACTAGTCAACGGAAACTTAATTACGGTCAAAACTTAAAACTCAACTTTACCAAAGGAAAGTGTTTTCCTTTTGATAAAGAAAGGAAAACACTTTCCTTTTTTTCATTACACACATTACTCTCAAATTCTCAAATCACGGTCTCTCGTTTCTTCGTAAACAATTAGTAAGAAGCAAGTAGGAACAAGTGAACAAGTGCATTATTTTTCTGGAACAATTGAAACTCTTATTTCAGGTATTTTTTTTCTTTATTTTTTTATATATTTTTATTTTTTTTCCTTTATGTTTTTATCTTCTTCGTTAGATCTGCAAGAATTAAGACATGAATCCTTCATTTTCTTGATAAATCTGTTACCTGTGATATTTTTCCCATAACATAACACAGTTTCTTCTTCATCTTCCCTCATCACATTCGATGTGTTCAAAACAACCCAGATTCATTAAGCAAAACATAAAAATCACATATTTTCCAGTCTTCCTCACTCACACCCTGCAGAACCGGCAAATCAAAGCAAAATCAATCAAAGTAAAATGCCCAAATTTTTCCAGTAAAAAGCAGTCACCATATCAAGGAATTAATCAACCCTTGCTCTCTTTTTTTTTTTCAAGTCTTAGTAGAAGTTGTCGGGGGAGAGAGGGAGAACTGTGAAGGAGGAGCGGGTCTTTAAGGTACAACCCTTTTGCCCGTTGAAGCTTCGATCTTTGTCCTGGTTTTTTTTTACACAGAGAGAGGAAGGTAAGGAATTAGATAAAGAACATGGGAAAGGCAAGAGAAACCGAGAGGAAACAGGGGAAGGGGAAGGCAAATGAGAGAAACCGAACAATCGAGAGAAAACAGGGGAATGGGAAGGGGAAGGGGAGAAACCGAGATAAACTGAACAGGGAAAGGGAAAGGGGATGACAGAAACCAAACAGGGGGAAGGGATGGGGATGAACAGAAACCGAATAGGGGAAGGGGAAGGGGATGATAGAAAATTTAGGAACAGGGAAAGGGGAAAGGGATGACGGAAACCAACAGGGAAAAGGGAAGGGGATGACAGAAACCGACAGGGGAAGGGGAAGGAGAAGGGGATGAGAGAAACCGAAACTTAACAGGGGAAGGGGGAAGGGATGACAGAAACCGAAACTTGATAGGGGAAGGGGAAGGAGAAGGGGATGAGAGAAACCGAAACTTAACAGGGGAAGGGGGAAGGGATGACAGAAACCGAAACTTGATAGGGGAAGGGGAAGGAGAAGGGGATGAGAGAAACCGAAACTTAACAGGGGAAGGGGGAAGGGATGACAGAAACCGAAACTTGATAGGGGAAGGGGAAGGAGAAGGGGATGAGAGAAACCGAAACTTAACAGGGGAAGGGGGAAGGGATGACAGAAACCGAAACTTGATAGGGGAAGGGGAAGGAGAAGGGGATGAGAGAAACCGAAACTTAACAGGGGAAGGGGGAAGGGATGACAGAAACCGAAACTTGATAGGGGAAGGGGAAGGAGAAGGGGATGAGAGAAACCGAAACTTAACAGGGGAAGGGGGAAGGGATGACAGAAACCGAAACTTGATAGGGGAAGGGGAAGGAGAAGGGGATGAGAGAAACCGAAACTTAACAGGGGAAGGGGGAAGGGATGACAGAAACCGAAACTTGATAGGGGAAGGGGAAGGAGAAGGGGATGAGAGAAACCGAAACTTAACAGGGGAAGGGGGAAGGGATGACAGAAACCGAAACTTGATAGGGGAAGGGGAAGGAGAAGGGGATGAGAGAAACCGAAACTTAACAGGGGAAGGGGGAAGGGATGACAGAAACCGAAACTTGATAGGGGAAGGGGAAGGAGAAGGGGATGAGAGAAACCGAAACTTAACAGGGGAAGGGGGAAGGGATGACAGAAACCGAAACTTGATAGGGGAAGGGGAAGGAGAAGGGGATGAGAGAAACCGAAACTTAACAGGGGAAGGGGGAAGGGATGACAGAAACCGAAACTTGATAGGGGAAGGGGAAGGAGAAGGGGATGAGAGAAACCGAAACTTAACAGGGGAAGGGGGAAGGGATGACAGAAACCGAAACTTGATAGGGGAAGGGGAAGGAGAAGGGGATGAGAGAAACCGAAACTTAACAGGGGAAGGGGGAAGGGATGACAGAAACCGAAACTTGATAGGGGAAGGGGAAGGAGAAGGGGATGAGAGAAACCGAAACTTAACAGGGGAAGGGGGAAGGGATGACAGAAACCGAAACTTGATAGGGGAAGGGGAAGGAGAAGGGGATGAGAGAAACCGAAACTTAACAGGGGAAGGGGGAAGGGATGACAGAAACCGAAACTTGATAGGGGAAGGGGAAGGAGAAGGGGATGAGAGAAACCGAAACTTAACAGGGGAAGGGGGAAGGGATGACAGAAACCGAAACTTGATAGGGGAAGGGGAAGGAGAAGGGGATGAGAGAAACCGAAACTTAACAGGGGAAGGGGGAAGGGATGACAGAAACCGAAACTTGATAGGGGAAGGGGAAGGAGAAGGGGATGAGAGAAACCGAAACTTAACAGGGGAAGGGGGAAGGGATGACAGAAACCGAAACTTGATAGGGGAAGGGGAAGGAGAAGGGGATGAGAGAAACCGAAACTTAACAGGGGAAGGGGGAAGGGATGACAGAAACCGAAACTTGATAGGGGAAGGGGAAGGAGAAGGGGATGAGAGAAACCGAAACTTAACAGGGGAAGGGGGAAGGGATGACAGAAACCGAAACTTGATAGGGGAAGGGGAAGGAGAAGGGGATGAGAGAAACCGAAACTTAACAGGGGAAGGGGGAAGGGATGACAGAAACCGAAACTTGATAGGGGAAGGGGAAGGAGAAGGGGATGAGAGAAACCGAAACTTAACAGGGGAAGGGGGAAGGGATGACAGAAACCGAAACTTGATAGGGGAAGGGGAAGGAGAAGGGGATGAGAGAAACCGAAACTTAACAGGGGAAGGGGGAAGGGATGACAGAAACCGAAACTTGATAGGGGAAGGGGAAGGAGAAGGGGATGAGAGAAACCGAAACTTAACAGGGGAAGGGGGAAGGGATGACAGAAACCGAAACTTGATAGGGGAAGGGGAAGGAGAAGGGGATGAGAGAAACCGAAACTTAACAGGGGAAGGGGGAAGGGATGACAGAAACCGAAACTTGATAGGGGAAGGGGAAGGAGAAGGGGATGAGAGAAACCGAAACTTAACAGGGGAAGGGGGAAGGGATGACAGAAACCGAAACTTGATAGGGGAAGGGGAAGGAGAAGGGGATGAGAGAAACCGAAACTTAACAGGGGAAGGGGGAAGGGATGACAGAAACCGAAACTTGATAGGGGAAGGGGAAGGAGAAGGGGATGAGAGAAACCGAAACTTAACAGGGGAAGGGGGAAGGGATGACAGAAACCGAAACTTGATAGGGGAAGGGGAAGGAGAAGGGGATGAGAGAAACCGAAACTTAACAGGGGAAGGGGGAAGGGATGACAGAAACCGAAACTTGATAGGGGAAGGGGAAGGAGAAGGGGATGAGAGAAACCGAAACTTAACAGGGGAAGGGGGAAGGGATGACAGAAACCGAAACTTGATAGGGGAAGGGGAAGGAGAAGGGGATGAGAGAAACCGAAACTTAACAGGGGAAGGGGGAAGGGATGACAGAAACCGAAACTTGATAGGGGAAGGGGAAGGAGAAGGGGATGAGAGAAACCGAAACTTAACAGGGGAAGGGGGAAGGGATGACAGAAACCGAAACTTGATAGGGGAAGGGGAAGGAGAAGGGGATGAGAGAAACCGAAACTTAACAGGGGAAGGGGGAAGGGATGACAGAAACCGAAACTTGATAGGGGAAGGGGAAGGAGAAGGGGATGAGAGAAACCGAAACTTAACAGGGGAAGGGGGAAGGGATGACAGAAACCGAAACTTGATAGGGGAAGGGGAAGGAGAAGGGGATGAGAGAAACCGAAACTTAACAGGGGAAGGGGGAAGGGATGACAGAAACCGAAACTTGATAGGGGAAGGGGAAGGAGAAGGGGATGAGAGAAACCGAAACTTAACAGGGGAAGGGGGAAGGGATGACAGAAACCGATTTAATTCTGTCTAGCATGTTTATGTTTGTAATTTGAACTAATATGTATGTTTATGACATCAAAACTTAATATTTATGCATAACTATATTTGATGTTAGATATTTATATTTATTTCTTTATGTTTATTTGATATATATTAAAGGGATAATTGTCTTTACCCGTAAAAAAAAATATTTATCTAAAAAACCCATCAAAATATTTTTGTATCTATTTATCTTTTAAAGAATTCTTCATACAAAAAAAAAAACTCAAATATATAACTCTTATCATAAACTAATTTGGCTTTCTTCGTATGAAAAAAAAACTTATTTTAAGCTTTTAAAATTAAAAAAATAAATATTAATAGGTTTAACTTAAAATATATTCACAAGCTTATTTCTCTATAATATGATATGACATATATAGTTATATTTTATAAAATAAGCTATGTATAAATATAAGATATAATAAAAAAAATTCATCATTATACTTTTTAGATTTCATTCTTTTATTGCAAGTGATTAAATATTTATATTAAATATTTTATATATATTAGATAAACTTGAAAAAAAATTAATTCATTAATAAATTATTTTCCAGTTCATTTTCCATAAAATAACCAAACACTGGAAAGTATTTTCCAGTGCATTTTCCATAACACTGCCAAATATTGAAAAATACTTTTCTGGAATTCATTTTCCAGGAATTCACTTTCCCCAGAATTCATTTTCTAAAAGGAAACAACTTTCCTGCAAACAAACGGAGCCTAGATCATATTCTGGATGGGTTGAAGGTCTTTCTTGTGTTTGACATGCATACCAATATTATATTGTTCTTGGAAAAGAAAATAAACAAGTTAATAATATGGATTAAAAACATCACTCCAAACAGAGTACAAAAGGTTTAAGAGATGACATATATTGTCTACAAAATGTTGCACCCTTTTTTGTTTATCCTCCCTCCTTATATGTGTTTTCATGTATAACTCCATCAAAGCTGGATCATATCTAAGCTATATATCCTTCAAAATAAATCCATAATTAAATGTTATCCTCCCTCCTTATATATCATTTTAAGAAAAACATTTGAAATTAAAACAGGCTCTCTTACCAAGAGGCTCGCTTTGTATGGTTAATAAAAGGAAGCGAGCTGCCTGTATGCTTGCTAATAGAGTTGTAAGTCTTCTTGTTTTTGTTCAAGGACCCACTCTATGAACACTCCTAAAACCCTTTAACATGAAGAACGCTAAATATTTCCCTTAGTTGCTCTTGGTTATGTGGGGAGGTATACAATTCTTGCATGTCTCAAAATCATGTAACTCAATATATCTCCTAGCATAAATGTATGTGTCATACCAAAAATCACGTAATTTGGTTTAAAATTCGTTAAAAAAATATATATAATAAAAAATTACAATTTAACAAAAAATTTTAAACTTTACATATTAAAACTTATCTAGTTGCACTGTGATTTTTTCAAAATTGTATTGCCACCCTAGAGTTTGCCTTGTCCCAACAAATTTTTTTCTTATGATCATTTTCATGAAATAATTAATTTTAGATTTAAAAAACATCTTTCATTAAAAAAAAAGAAGTATTGATTATATATGTATTAATGTTAAACTCTCTCCATCAAGCCTCAACCATGAGTATTTATTCAGGATACTATTTAAGTTGGCTTTATTGAAATAAAGGAATTTTCATTGATGATTTCATCGTCAATGTTATCGTTCACACAACTTTCATATTTGGAAACATGAAAATTAATTAATTAATAGTTGACTATATAAATATATAATCATTAATTTAATAGTATGTTCAAATTAAATAAATTTTCTTATATGTTTAAATCCAGCTTCCATTTTGCTATTAACTTATCAGAATTATGTTTCTAGCAGATGGGACGCCAAATCTCCGACTTGTAGTCCACAAGCCTGTGACATTAGAACATGCATTAGGTGTTTGTTCATGAATTGCACCTTAATGCACCGTAGGTTTAGGAATGCTACTGCTTGAAAATGCACAACCACACCATTTTAAGCCTAAGCTTTTCCTCGACATCTAAAAAATATAACTAAATAATTAAGAATATTCAATTAAATTATCAATCTATAGTTTATGATTTTTCTATGGTTTCTGTTTTTCCTCGGCAATAAAACCCTATATTCAATTGAAATTAGTTTTTACATAAACATGTGATAGCCATGACTTTTCATTCCATATAATATGCATTTCTCAAAGTTCACCAATTTAGTTATATGTTCGAATCATATCTATAAAAAAATCATAAACTCTTAAGCCATTTATAAACAAGATATTGTGCTTTTTTATGTATATAAGGCAAAGGTGGCTTTGGACTTTGCCATTCATAACTCATTATTAAACATCTTCATATTTTGATGGTCACAAAACAAAGCTATATTTATTCTATTTTTTATGTTGTTCTTTTTCTTTCCTTTCAACGTCCATTATCATATTAAGAATGTTTACAAACAGATTCTTTTCAATATGCATGTTATCTAAATTATAACATAAGATATTTGTCTTTCAATAAAAAAGCTTATAAAAAACACTTTATTTTATTTATTATGGATTACACAAAAACAAGGACATTTATGCTTATCAAATTGAAAATTAAATGTCATTCCTCGTATTACTAGATCACATTATAAAATTCTTTACTTGACAATACTGGAGATGCAACATCCACTTCAGTTTTATCTTTCAAAAAGTTTTTTTTATTTTTTATATTGATGATTACTTGTATTTACTTTTTCCTTCAATAGTTTTATAAATTACAACTTACATGCCATTGTTTATAATAATTATACTAATTTATATAATGATTTCAATATGCGAAAAATTAATCAACAAAAATGTTTTAAAAATTACACGACTGCTGTTATAATTGGATTATATGACTAATGAGTCTTTTTAAATAAAAATATACAACTGTCATCAAGTTAGAAAAACAAAAAGCTCTAGTTGTCACCATCGCCCTTTTCTCTTCACTGGAATCCAGTCAAAGTTTGAAAATAAATGACTAGTGCCCAGCCAATGCTAGTGACAGGACCATCTTCCTCGTTAAAAGTGTCTAGCTCTGAGATAGAATTGTTTGAAGCATTCCAAAGATACATCGTTGGTTTCAAGAGCTATTGCAAGCACGTTATCGCTGCCTCATTCTAGCAAATCAAGTAGAAATCAGAGGAATATTTTTTTGGAATCTAGCATAAAAAATAGAATGATAAAGTAACACAGTATGAAAAACTAGTTTTAAAAATAGTAATATTTAAAGAGTTGTTGGTATATATGTATGATTTTTTAATTAATATTAGTCTCGGATTTGTATTTAAACACTTTAATTAATTTTATAAATTCTAAAATTAATAAATATATGAATATTTAATAATTCTAAAATTTATAAAACTCAAAATAATAATATAAAAAATAAATTTAAAACTTTACCACTTACTTAAACTACGGCTCATAAAATTATGTGTGTTTGGATATGCAAGGACGTCGTGCATCGGTGATATGAATGTCAAGTTGACTCGTATTATGTGGTGCATAATAATTATAATATTTGATGCACTCTTTGGTTGATGCTGCAAATATTTAAAAACAGCATCAATATTTCATTTGATGTATTCATTACATCAAATGAAATATGTAATAGTTATAAACCTGGGACGGTACAAAAAATTAAGGACTACCTCTGTTTGTGTGTGTGTAGAACAGCTTATACACATATATAAACTAACCTACATGATGCATGCATATAGATAGAGATAAAGATATTGTTAAGAAATATTTCTATTTTATTTATTAAGAATAGAATAATATTTTTAATTTAATCTATATACAATCTTTTTATATTTAGGTTAAAAAATATATTTTAAAATAAACATTAAATGAGAACTTTAGTCCTTTTTTTATGTTCGTATTTTTTTAATATTACTTGAATTACTTTAAATTATAAGTGCTAGTTAGGGTTTATACTTGTGAAATCCATAACACAGATGAAGCGGACATTTTAACAGACCAAGAATCAAAATATTTGCTTAGGGCTAGAGGTGTTGAAGAGTTAAAAACACTTGGCACATTAAAGGGAAATTTGGTAGAAAGTTCCAAACAGGAATTAAAGTATATATATGCCTGACATTATATGTATTCTTAATATTTCCGATAAAAGAATCATTCGTATATGTCTTGTCTTGTATTGTATTGTTTGTCTGCGAATCTTTGATGTTAGTTAATGGAGAATATTACTCTGTGTTGGAAGGGAAATAACTGGGGAGAAGAATCAAGCGGGATGTATTACGATTACACGTGTTTTTCTCAAATTAAAAACATTGGACTCCATCATATTGGGTATTTCTGATCAAATTCATGCAAATGAAAATTAAGCTTATAAGAGCATCTCCAATCCAAAATGCTATTTTAAAAAATTAAATTAATAAAATAATATTTTGAATAGTATAAATATAGCTTATCTTACTATATCTATTCCAATAAAAAAAAATTATTTGAAAAGCCATTTATATTAAAGTGAAAAAAATAAGTGTTTTATTATTTTTTAATATTGTTTAATATTATTTTTTTTCCACATATCTAAATTTAATTGGTCTATTTTTTTAGTGGTCCCACTTTGTTGATTTTGGCTCTTTAAAGAGATATGTAGAAATAGCATTTGTGGAAGAGAAAAGACATTTTAACATTTTGTTTGGCTTTCCCCTTAGAGTGTGCAAAACAAACAAAGAAAAGTCAAAATATTAATTTTTTATTTTTGACTATCCATTTGGCTTCTCCATTGGAGATGCTCTAACACTTCCTACTCAAATTGTATATGTGATTTGCAACTCTGTTGTTTTTTAAAATATTATTTTGTACCATGTTTAAAAAGAAATCTAGAAATCATCCACCAAGTGGGCATCCAATGTCATTTCTTGTCTCTACAAAATCAATTCCAAATATCCCATCAATTTAGAAACAATCAGCAATTACATCTGAAATCTAAAATTCTCAAACCCATGATTCTAAAAGCATTAAAAAAAATTAAATTGAGCAATTAGCATATAAAATTAAAAAAAAATTAATGAATTGATATGGAAACAAAAAGTTTTGGTGAAATAATACAGTTTCATCATGTCATATTTCATAAACATGATATGACTATGCTATTTTTGGCTCAAAAGATTCATCGGTTCATAATAATTAGTGAAATTGGTTAATCAATTTCTAAACTAAAAAGAAAAATCTCAAAATTGCTAAAATTGAAGGGTTTCAATGAGATTTTTAATATTTAAATCCGATAGTCCACATGGTGATGTAGTAGCCTTTTAAAGGGAAACATCCTCCAAAAACTCTTGTAAATTCTTGAGTGCAATCCAATAGTCAAATAAAAAATTATAGTTATTTTGAGTTTTTATTTTGATTTGATGCAACCAAACCTCCTATTGGACCTAAAATTATTCCAATGATCCATAAATATATTTGTTAAACTATTTACATAATCTGTTTAGGATAAATTCTTATTTAGTTTTGATAGACCTCCATTTTATTATTTAAAATCACCTATTATTGTGTGAACAACAATTTTTTAAGATTTTAATTAAAGTATATTTTTCAGCCTACAAATTGAATAAAGTTATATATTTTCACTCATAAAATATATTTAAAAAAAAACCTCATAAAATTGTGATTTATGTATAAAATAATCAAGCAGTTAATATAACTGATTCACAAGTTGAGGTAGAAAATTAGAATTTAATCACGTCGTGTTTTTGAACCTGTCATAATGAAAACTATGCTATTTCAGGAAATAAAATAAAAATGTTAAAACAGTGTTATTATGTAAAATTTGTATGTTTAATGTACTGATTCTTTAAAAAGAAAAAAGAAAACAAAAAATTTAAAACACGAGAACAATCACGAACCTGAGGGATGTTTCGCTGGGGCTTGACAGGTTTAAAAGGATGAAAAGATGGTGGTGGTGGTGGTGTCTACTAGGGTGGGTGGTTTATTCTTAGAGGCAAAAATTCGTCTTCCGTTCGTATTGAAGGCCTATGCCAAAAGCTTCTGGTGTAGCAATTGCGAGGGTGGATTCTCCATGGCTTTCCTCCCTTCAACGAGCATGTAAGGCTCATAATCCATGTCCATAGCTGACCTATTTGTTATAAATCGACCCAACTATCCAGAACAAGAAAATCTGAATTAGAACCCTAAAAGAATATAATCATTAATTAATCTTTAACTTGATAAGAATATCCTTAAATAGCACTGACTTATTAGACACCCAAAATAGAATATAATCTTGCTTTGATTCATGTTTGATTTTCTGTTAGTGGAGAGGGAGAGAAAAGTCATGGAAAAAGAATCCTTTGTAATATGCGGCAACCTGATGTGATCGTTCTTTCACTTCTCTCGTTCTCTGTTTCCTGCACACTAATTTCGTAACATTTTCTCGTGTGTGTAAGTAATCATTTACTTAATTATTGTATAATAACAACGAAAAAAGAGTGTTCAATCACATGAATTCTTCTCCCTTCCCAACATTTTACCTAATGAAATCAATCATATCTTGTTGCTTAATTGAGCAGCACATCTATGTAATTTCATCATCACTTTACAAAATTAATAAATACACAATATTTTGCATGCCGATCTTTCAAAAATTACCCTTTAAATCTTCAATTACTATTGATTTATCAGAAAGATAAAAAAAAAAAATGCCTTGATATAAAAAACATTCACTCCAGATCAAATCACACAATGCCTGTCTCTCTCTCTCTCTCTCTCAAACAACTGCAATAATGAAATCACCTGCACAACCAAACTCACCACCATTAAATAGATTCTGTTAGCATATATAAATATAATAATTTTTTTTATTCTCCCCTTTAAGCCGATATAAGCCCCCCATCATTTATCTCAAAAAAATTAACTCCATAAAAAATTCACTCAAGAGAAAAGTGGCAATGTTGATGATTTGGAATTCTTTGAATATTAGTTCTATAATTGTTTGGTTTATGAATTTGATTTGGTAAACAAAATTATTTATACGTGGTTTTGTTAGAGATTATAGTGTTAGAGATTTAGGGCTTTTAGTTTTTAGATTTCAAATTTAAATAATTTTTTTATTTATGGATTTGAAATTTTTGTGATTTGGCATGAGAAATTCATTTATATTGGAATTTGATGGAGTTGGCTATGTTTTTGGTTTGAGTTTCTTTCTTTTAAGAACTTTATTTGATCATTAATATGTGCTACGTTACAAATTATATCAATATTTTTTAACATAAAAAGATATAGGTGTTGCTAATGTTTTTTATAATAGAATAATTTTTAAATGTGTGAGAATTAATCTAATATAATTTAGTTATCTTGGAGGCTCCAAAAACAATTTGAATAATCTATAAAAATATAGTTTGAATTAAAATAAATATTTAAGGTGATTTTCTTTATAAAAATTGACACAAAAACATATTAGATTGATTCGGGTTAACCTACTACGTTAACATGTCAATCAGCATACCAAGTTGTAAGATCATGATAACCCCATAAAAAATAAAAATAAAAATCACAAAACTTAAATTTAAATAAATTCAATAATGAAAAATAACTAGAAAACACCAATTGAAAATTAACTTAAAAAACAACCTGAGTCAATCTTCCAAACTTGTTACTCGAGTTATGAAATCAAAATAATAAAAAAGAAACAAATTAAAATAAATTAGGTCATGGTAGCATAACATGCCTATGCTTGGTTCTAATTCTTTGTTTTTTTATTTCTTCATGGATGGATGACGTCCTATTATCTACTTCTATTTTTTGATTTAATATTAGCAAACAACACACCATTTTTTATTTGAAGAATATCTAGTGACTAGAGGGTCACCAAAAAATCAGGACTTCATTTTTTTTATTAAAATACTAGTTCTCAACTCATATTTTTTTACCCAAAACATTATAAAAACATGCTAAACATTTTGAGAAACCTATTTTTGACCTCAAATAACCTAAAAAATACCTTGAAAATCTTCTTATAGGCATATGTACATTCTCAACAAATGATAAAGAAAAATAACTCATAGATGAAACTCTTTTTATAAAATGGAACTTATTAATATTAAGATGAATTATTTTTATACTTAAAATTAACATCAATAATAATATTTATCTATGTTAGACAACTCTTTAAGTCATCTCATATACAAATAGGATTGAAAATTATATGCTTAGAAAACCAAAACAAGAAAAAGCTGAATGGTATGCGTAGAAAACGAGCCTCCATGCCCTAAATCAATATTTTGTCGATGATAAGAGCCCGATCAGTTAAATTATATGACTCTGCAACATCATTATTTTCGCCACTTGTAAAAGATCAAATGTGAACAATATACAAGATATTTAATTAAGAATGAATTTGACTGTATATAATATTGTAAACTGAGCATGAAATTAAGGTAATAATGAAATAAGCAATTGCAGTTAAATCGGTTAAAGAAAGAAAAGTGGTTGAAAATTAATTAAAAATATTTTAAAAGAGCATCAATATTTCATTTTTCATTACATCATGTCAAATATGTAATAGTTATAAACCTGGGACGGTACAAAAAAGGACTCCCTCTGTGTGTGTGTGTAGAACAGCATGTACACATATATAAATTAATCCACATGATGCATGCATATAGATATATGATCTCAGGCCCCCGTTAGGGTTTATACTTATGAAATTCATAACACTGTGAAGGAGACCTTCTAACAGACCAAGAATCAAAATATTTGATCAGGGCTCGAGGTGTTCAAGAGTGAAAAAAATTTGGCACATTAAAAGGAAATTTGATGCGAAGTTCCAAGCTGGAATTAAAGTATATATACCTGACATTATATGTATTCTTAATATTTCTGATAAAGAATCATTCGTACATGTCTTGTATTGTACTGTTTGTCTGCGAATCTTTGATATTAGTTAATGGAGAATATTACTCTGTGATGGAAGGGAAATAACTGGGGAGAAGAAACAAGCGGGATGTATGACTACATATGTTTTTCTCAAATTAAAAACATTGGACTCCATGATACTAATTACTAGGTATTTCTGATCAAATTCATGCAATCGTACAAATAGGTCAATGAAAGGCTTAATAAGTAGCAGTAACAGAGGAAAGGAACATGGAAGGATCTCAGCAGCCATTCGAATATTGAAGTGCATGGTAAGATCAAGATCAGTGAATTATCAGTTCAAGCTCTTCACGTTAATGATTGAAAATAAAGCAACATATGCAATAAACAATCTATATATACAGACATAAAAAGGTAGAAAGATGTGTTGTTTCAGGACCTTGTAAAAGGATGGGATTAGGAGCATACCTTAATTAGGTTCTTGTAACCAGATAATAAAAGAAAAGCAAGGTGTAAGGAATGAAGCCTGGTCCGAGATCATTTTATGATATTTTCCAAATATAATTACTCGCAATATCAAACCTAAAAATTAACAAGAAGTAAGGGATAATTAAGACTACTACAGATTAACAGCTAGGACACAGGAGAGATATAAAGAGAAGAGTCAAATGGATCTTGAATCAAACCCTATGATCACCAGCACTTCCTACACTCATGATGCCAAAATCAGACAAAGGGGCTGCAAATACACTCAGTAATGAAAACCTAACAGTAACAGAGACTAAGTTAACGGGAGAGACAAGGATCTTGGATCGAACTTCATTCCAAACACCCCTTTTCCGTCTTTCATGGTTTCTTCTCTATATAACTGAGTCATGATTTTTTTCTCATGATTCAGCAACCAAAACCTAACAAGGCTGAAATATACTCAAGTCTCTATATTATCTTCGTCTTTATAGTTACAAGCACACAATACCACACACTCTCGCCCACAAAATGATAAAGAGAGATGACACGAAGGGATCAGTAAATGGAGGTAAGAGAAAAGATAAACAAAGAGATAAAAGTGGTAAAACGCATTATACACTGGTCAATGTATGGATAAAATAATGAAAAGGCCGGTAGGTTTTGGAGGGATGATGTTGTCTTCTTCTAAGGAGCTTTTTAAGAAAGTGAGTGGCTTTGGAGGCTTTTACAGGCTATCTCTGTGATCGGAAAAGAAAAAGAAAAGATTTAGCACTGAAATAACGAGGATCCAAAGAGAAGCGTGGGAGAGGGGACATGGGCCTCCACAATCTCCAATATATTTATAGTATGGTTAATTATTGGTTATTTATTTTAGTTATAATTTGAGAAAAATAACATTCATTATTGTCCTATCAACCAAGCTATTGCTAATGATTGGAAGAGGGTGATTTTTTATTGAATAAAGTATCAAAACTATCTTAAAGCTTGTCCACCTAATTTACCATATATGAACATAACAAAATTAAGGCTAGAAAAAGGATCGCAAAAGACTATAGAGTAGGTTGTGAAGCCTTTGTATTATAGACTCTTTATGTGTGTGTAAGAATTATTGTAGGATTATTTTAATTTTGTATTACTTACAGTTATTATCAGTTATTATCATGTACTGTCTTATATATTTAAATAGGAAAGGATGACTAAAAGATAAGTCATATTTTTTATTATTCTCAACTTGATATCATAATATTAAATAACTTAAAACTTTTTTCTTTCTCTCCAATGAACTCTTTTTAATCACTATTTGCCTATGCGACACCACCAGTGTAGTTGATAAGTGTATCTTCCTCTTTCTCTGCCTCTGCTTCTACTACTACCCCTGCCTACTAATGTTGCCTACTAATGTTGGCCAAAATCTTCCTCACCTAAATGTCACCCCTCTGCTGCAATCTTGTTTTGTTGCTATTGTCTACCTTGTTTTAGCGGACACCATTGTTTTTCTCTCACACACTCACTAAGTTATCTCTTTAAAATTAACAAACACAAATTACTTGTATTGGTGAATGTAGATGAAGTCATATCCCCTAGACCAACAAGTTTTTCAATTTGTTAATGGCTCAATCTCGTGTCCTTCTCCACATGTGTTTGTTTTCGATGGTACTTCTTGTCGCATATGTGCGGCGTCACGGCGATCGTCCACTCTCCAGTAAAAATGAAATGTGTGTATTTCTAGCAAAAATATAAAGAGATAAGAAATTCTTGTCTATTATCAATGAAAAATTGGAATGAAAGTCACTACCTAGTATTCTGGTCACTAGGAACCCTAACTGGTCTTAAAAATCGGGTACGGAGATTGGTTGTGTAAAGGGAAAGTATTGGCACCCCAAATACGCCGTACCTAAGGTAGGCTGCATTGTTTTGTTCGATAAAATCTAAAGTCGTGTTATGGTTTTTAATTCTTGGTCTGTCTAAAGTTCAAGACAAGTCCTTAATACGAAGGTTTTTATCTTAATGTGGTAAAACCTAACCGTTCTATTGTCCGATTGTTGTTTTTGAAATTTTGATCAATGTTCTCATAACTTTAATAAACTAGTTATTAAAGTAAAAATACATGCTAAAATATTGTTTCTTGGTGTATGAAAAAGCATAATATTTTCTTTTTTTTCAATTTTTTTGTATTTTTGAAAGTCTAACGAAAACCAGGTATTTTAATACTGAATTTTTATTTTTATGACATAAAATATTGTCCAATATTAATCAAAATTACATAAAAAAACTATGCAGGAAAATTGTTAAATTTTGAATAAAATTTTGATTTTTTTAAATGAGCTAGACTCAGCCTAAATTAGTGGGTTGGGCCAAACCCGGTCCAAAACCAAATGGGCTGGTTATTGTGTCTATACACAGTAATCAGCCCTTCATTTGCTACAAAACGTGAATTAATTCACTTTCTGCATGTAAATGTAGATAATAGTTGAGCAAAGGAGAAAAAGACGGGGCAGCCAGAGGTTAACTATGATGGCATCGAGGTGGTGCTGTTGGCGGCGGAGGCATGGTGGCCGACAATTTCTCATCCTTCTTCCTTTTTTTGTTCTCTTTTCTGTCTTTTTTTTCTTTCCTTTTCTTCTCCTTTTTTTTCTTCTTTCTCTTCTCTTTTCTCTCCCCTCTCCCCTCTATTGTGTTTTCTCTCTCGGGCTTTTTTTATCTCTTTTCTCTTAGTCTCCCGATTCCTCCTATTTCAGTTTACCCCCTGTTTTTACAGCCAAAAACAAGAGAGGTGGCTGGGGTGGCCATTGTGTTGCTGCCCCTCAACTGCATTTCCAACACGTGGCAAATGGTCTGCAAGTTGGCTGACACGACTAAAAAATTGATGTCTTTTCCCAAGTGCAGGAGTATCGAAGTAATAAATAACCCGGCAAGACCGGGGTCGAACCACAGGGAGGTTAATTGTACAAATTATAAACAACAGTTATACAACAACAATAACAATAACAATAACAACAATAATAACAATAATAATAATAATAGTAATACTAATACTAATAATAATAGTAATAATAATAAAGAAAAAGAAAGAGAAGGAGAAGAAGAAGATGAGAACTTTGAGAAGGAATATTAATATAAAGATTTAATAATGATAATAACAAATGTCAAGGTTAGAGGTTCCACTAATGGTATATCAAACAAGTATAGTATAAACTCTTATTATTGAATTGGAAACCACACACAAAGGAGGTTCCAATCAGATTATATATTGTTAACATGATTACATTAGTCATCTTATTCAATTAATGCTAATACTTGCAAATGTCGTCAAGCATTCATGATTATAACTTATGTTAACAACAAATCAAGTTCCTTTCATAGCTCAGGTGTCGGTTATACCATACATTATGGGCTATGAAAGTGCCAAGCATTTGTTGTACCAAGTGTTATACAACATAAATCAAGATTAATCATTTAACAAGCAAAGTATTAAAGAGTAAACAAGATAACAAATATAAAACATGTTAGTATCAAACATTAAAGTCCATATTAAGTTTACATTATACTTATTCTTACACCATTAGTGTAACCTTTTCACCTTGACATAATTAACTTAGCTAGACATAATGAAAGAAAGCAAAATAGATAAACAAAATAAGAACATAAAAGTTAACTAAGTAAAGGAAAGGAAATGAAAGGCATAAACTTAATATTAATGAAAACAAAGCATAAAAAATACAAAGAGAGAAAGGAAGAGCATGATCTTGATCTGGACACCAAGATGCCTAAATGCATGGCAAATGCCTCCTTTTATAGGCCAAAAATGGGAACTATTGATTTGATGACTAATTGATAAGTGGGTGACCAACTTTTGACTTGGTGACAATCCTTATCTTCTCTTGTCTGCCCAAAACGTCATTGATAACGTCAAAATTGGAGCCAGTTGCAAACATGAAAGTTGTAGGCAATTGTCTCAGCTTTCTTGTGTAAAACATTCAGCTCATTTGGACTTCTAGAACTCCAGATATGGCCAAAATACCGAACAGTGCTCGGGCTGGAAGACAGATTCGGGCTTCTTTGTTGTTGCTACAATTTGGACTTGATAATGGCCTTTTTAGATCTTGGGCTCCATATGAAAGTTGTAGGCCTATGTCTTACCTTTCCATCCATATAAATTGGACCTAAATCTGAGATCTGTAGCTCCAGATATGACCCAATTACCGAACAGTGTTCCGGTTTGGATTGCACCGACATCTCTTTTCTAAGTTTGGCCATCTCTTTATCCTTTCCATTTCAGTTCTTAAATTCATCAATCAATCCTTTCATTTATGTGATAGGCTTGCATTTAAAATGAACATTTACCACAAATTAAAGGTATCTTATATTATTAGATATATTATTATAAAACATGTTTTAGTTAAGGAGTTATTGATACTTCAAGTGCAAAATGATGACATAAAACCATGATAAAAATGCACTTTTAAGTACTAATCATTGACATCTTTTAAAAAAGAGGCGGTGTCTTTTTAGAAAGGGAAAGTCGGTGCAAACAGGGGAGTGTCTAGGGGAAGAAGAATCTTTTTCTTTCCCTACCTCATGTGTCTAGGGGAAGAAGAAAGGTTACAGTGTTGTTCAAAACAGCACCAATGACCTCTTTTTTTTTTTAAATGAACATTGTATGAAACAGAGTTGTTTTTGACAAAACGCGTCATTTCATTTCAAAAGAAAATGTGGCAAAATAAGTTAAATTTCACATTGTCCTCCATTTGAATTTTTTTCAATTAAGTCCTAAATTGCAATTTTAATTTAAAAATCAATGAAATTGCATCCCTACCAAGAATCAAATAGCAGCCCTGAAGTTGGTCGTCTTTTTCCCTTTGGTCCTTGGTCTTGAATTTATGTCATTTGACCCTTAATTGATCAATAAACTTCTAATTTCTTCAATTGAGCCCCTGATCTGGTTTTAATTACAACCCCTCTATTTACATGCCATTTTTATTTTGGCCCTTGATTTTAGATTTCTTCAATTAAGTCCCAATTGGCCATCAAACTTCAATATTTATGCAATTAAATCCCTAATTTAACCAAATTAACTCTTAAAAAAAGGTCATCAATTGACCTCAGAACTTTAATTTCTTCCAATTATAGCCTAAATTGACTCCAAAATCAATTTTTCTTACAATCAAACTCTTCATAAATTCAATTAAACTTTTAATAAAATTTAATTAAGTCCATAAACTTATAATTTTAGAATGTTCTTACTCAAATTGAATTTTCTTTGTTAACAGAGTTGTCATCAATTAATAAAATATTGCTAAATTTTAATCTTTGTATTTTTAAACCTCCTCAACCAATTTTTGAGTATTTTTAGGGCGTTTTGGCATCCTTTTTTTAGTATTTATATTTTTTGATAATATGTTTTTGTATTTTATTATTTTTCATGCGAGGGCCCAAAAATGGGTTATAACACTTCTCTTCACATAAATGAGTCTTTTTTTTTATTGGAAATAACAAGACCACCTCATTTTAAGTACACTGCTTTCTTCACTCTCTATGGATGTTCTCCATCTTGTTGTTAATTGTCAAACTGCGCACTTTGTTTGGTGCACACTTGAGCAAGTTTTAGCCTCTTCATCTAATTTTCATATTATGCAATTTCATGGCTCCTTTCAAGATCTTCAACAAGATGATGATTTGATCATTAGGTTTATACAAAAAACTAAACCATTATTTGATGAGTTGGCCGCTGCTGG